TTTTTGCCCTCATTTCGAAACCCTAAAGTTTATGAGTGTATTTTGAAGCTTGGAGAGTTATTTTGGTGCTATTTGTGGTGAAGGAAGAATCTTGATGTTTTGGTGCTTCATTCAAGACTTTGGATCCAACAACTACTCTCTCGTGTGTATCTTCGGGAGGTATAAATCTCCATCATTGATGAATATTTCATTAAGATCTAGTTCTAGCTTAACGTTGGCACCTTTTTGTCCCAAATCTTGATCCTAGTCAGTATGGAATACTCCAGGACATCTGACTCATAAAAATGTGATATTGGGAATTAGTTTCTTTCGATGCATGATATAGGTTGTCTTAATGAGTTCATGAGTTAGGGTTTTTAGTTTTGGTCACTTAATAGCCATGTAAGATCACAAAGTTGGAAAGTTTATGATTAAGGACATCATTTGAGGGCTAGATATGGATTTTGGACGAAAGAGCTTAAGGATTAAGCTCTTAATGGGAAGAAAGGGTGGCAGTTACGTATGTTGGGTCTACCAAAGGGTATGTTGTGCGTATGTGGTCAGGTCCTCAAATCTGGTCAAACACGTAGCAGGCCCCACGTACATGTTGAGTATGCCCAACATACTCACCGAGTTGATCCAGTTGACTTGGTTGACTTTGACTTCGACTTTGACCAAGAGTTTGACCTAGGGGTATTTTGGTTATTTTAAGCTGTAGTCTGAGTTTGGGTCACTGTTATTCGTGAAGGTGACCGGTAGAGTCGATTTTCGGAGCAACATATTGTTCAACTTCTTCATCCTACTCTGAGGTGAGTTTTCTCACTATATCCATGGGTCGAAGGCACCAATGCCAACCCATTACTATGTTATTTAGGATGATAGCTGTTATGTGGCTTATATGTGTTAATATGTTGGGTTGAAATAAACCCCAGGGCGGGGCCCACTATTATATGTTCAGGTTGAAATAGACCCTAAGGCGAGGCTCGCTATTCTATGATTGGGTTAAAAGATATCCCAGGACGGGGCTGATATGTGTTGATCAGGTTGAAACAGACCCTAGGGCGAGGCCCCAGGGATAGGCCTATATATGTATATTGGGTTCGAATATACCCTAGGGTTAAGCCTAGTTGTATGATTGGTATGTGGTAATTTGATGAACTCACTAAGCTTTGTGCTTACAATTTATGTTGTTTTATGGTTTCAAGTACTTCGGGTTTGAAAAGGAAGGGCTCGTCGTGATGGCACAACATCATCCCCTCATGATTTCCGCATTTTGAATAATTGTATTATGATATTTTGGATATTACATTTGGTGATGGTTTTTGAAACAATTAATGAATGAAATTATTAGTTTTTCAATGGAAAATTTTATCATTATTTTTGGGCTATTACATAACTGCCATATACCTATTCATACACACGTAGATACGAAAATTAAATTAAAAATAATTTTTGGAATAATATATATTATTTAATTTATCAGAAGAGCCCAAGAGCCCCAAGGCCAATCTTTTGACCATATATATATATATATATATATATATATATATATATATATATATATATATATATATATATATATATATATATATAGAGAGAGAGAGAGAGAGAGCTAGGTTCATTTGTTTAAACTAAGTATTGTGTTATTGTATGCATAAATGTGGGCCAATCAAAATTTAAAATATAAATAAATAATTAAATAAATAAATAAGGGTAATTAGGTAATTTTATAAACAATTTCCCTAAATAATTTCCTATAATTATGCTAGTTGATTTTAACCTAATTTATTCCCTTTTAATTACCACCGACGTCACTTTGTAAAACCTTACGGATTCGATCGAAAGGGAACAAGATCGAAGGAATCAGAAACCCCTCCTTCTTCTCCTTCGCCTCATTCACCTGCTGCGACGTTATCGCCGTCTCCGGGGCTTGACAAGGCCGAAGCATCGATGACGTGTAGAAGCAGCGAAGGTTCAATTGTTCTTCGCTGGCTGTGAGATGCGAAGGAAGGAGGTCCGATGGCTGCTGATCTTATCGATTCGCAGTCGGCGATGGCCTCCAGGGTTCGACTTAGGCCGAAGAAGAGGAAGAGGAAAGAAGCAGAGACGCTTCTATGGGGTTGGGGAAAGGGAGTGAGAAGCGAGGGGGAAGAGAAAGGTGCGTGGGGTTGGACGATAAGCCACAACAGTTTCGGTAAGGGGTTCGGTGGCAGCTGCTCGACAGGAGAAAAACAGATGTGCGAGAGGTGTTGCTCTGAATCGATAACAGGTAAGTGCCTTGTCGTTTCTTGTTCACTCTTTTCTTTTTGTTTTGACAAAAGCTAATGAAGGAGGATAAAAGTAGGTGAAAAAAAACGATCCACTGATGTGTTTGGATTTGATTTTTAATAGGAGAAGGAGAGGGAAGAACAAAGGAGGTTTGATACACCTTTTGCTAATGAAGGAGGATGAAAGCAAGCCAATGGATGATGGAGCCCAAGGATGCAAGAGCCATTAGAGTGTAATCCAGTGCATCTGCATAAGTTAAAAGCTTGGTGAATGGCAATGGCTGATCGTTCAAGATCGCTTTTTCGTCATCTACTAATTCAGAATGGGTTGTTTGCTCTCTTGATTCAATGGATGATATTGGTGAGATTCCAATTCTATTGGAATGGAATCACGAATTCCAATTATGTTGGAATGGAATGACGAATTCCAATTTTGTTGGAATCACAGAAGTTGATGCTTGAAGAACGGACCACAAAATTGAAACGGACCACAATATTCTTTTAGAATGTATTAGTCGTTGTTAGATTTTGATGTTTTCTTTCCGGTTTTGATTGTTTTTTAAGTTTTATTCTTTAACAATAAATGTAATTATTAACAAGTTTTACCTGTATTCTATAAGAAATAATGTATTTTTTGTTTTTATTCTTCTAGTGATTGTTCAAGAATTTGTTATTCTGCAAGAAGTTTTTAAATTCATGATCAAGAAATAGGTTCAAGAATATTTTTATTATTTATGGTTCAAGAATATTTTTAATTTTGAATATACTCATAAACATATTCTGTCAGAATGTCCGAGTTAAAATAATTATAATTCTTAAAATCGGATTTTTAAAATTAATAGAATCTATGATACCTTAAAAAATGCAATTTTCCTTTATTAAATCTATGTTAATTGACTAAAATACCCTTCTAGTTAAACTAGATGATATTTTTCGATTATTTTTAATTCAATAATATGTATTAATCACTTTCTTAAAATAAGTAAAATGATTGGCCCATATTTATGCATACAATAATACAATAATTAGTTTGAATAGAATAACTTAGGCCTCTATATATATATATATATATATATATATATATATATATATATATATATATATATATATATATATATATATAAGAAGAGCCGAAGAGCCCCAAGGCCAATCTTTTGACCATTTATATATATATATATATATATATATATATATATATATATATATATATCCCAATACCATACATTTAGCCCAAGAATCTTTATCCATTACTTTGAACAAACGTGTTAAATAAGCTAGATAAAGCATCTCAAGGTTTATTCTTCTTACTATGTGGGACAAGTCCCACATAGTTATTTTCTTACTAACAAAGTTCATTGGTGTGTAGATGGAGATGGGGTCTGCAAATTTCTAGGTTTGTAAACTCAGAACCAAGCATTCGATTGCGTGGTGTACGTGTATGTGTATGCGTCTGTGTGTGTGTGTGTGTTTACCATCATGTTATCTAGACTTTTTCTTTGCTAAAGTTTTGGCATAACTGTCCATTAGTTACAAATGAATGAGAAACGCAAAGGTAAGCAATTTGCGAATGAAATTTTTGGACAAACATTTCATACGTTTTCAGTTTTAAATGAGTTCGTGTTCCAAAGGTGTTTATGTGTTTATATTTTCTTGAAGGTTCTTTACAAGATTTGGGTGTGATCGAGAGAGAAAGAGGAGGGGGGGGGGAGGGGAGAGAGAGAGAGAGAGACCATTTCCATATTAAATTTCATTTTTTTTTAAAATAAAAATAAAAGAAAACCTCATAAATGGTCTCTACCTTAGTGAAATGACGGAAATACCCTTCACTTAACGGCCAAAAGCTGGCGGAGTTAGCAAAAAAGACCAAACATCAAAATTTTTGAAAACACATGGACCATTTGTGAAATTTTTTTAACTTAGACACTAAACTTCAGAATTTAAAAAAACACCAAGACCAAAATGATGTTTTTCTTGAATTTATAAATAAGTTGAAGTAAACTAGATAAACTTTACATATATTTGAGATTGGTACTCAATTCCTTAATATTAATTATGCATATGCATGATATTGACAAACAATGTTTTGCACATTGAAATATATATTATTTTTAATGATCTGATTTCTTTGTTTTTATAAAATAATAGATAATTAAAATAATAATTTAATAACAATAACAATAATAATAGTAATAATGTCGATAAACATATATATATATATATATATATATATATATATATATATATATATATATATATATATATATATATAAACCCATGACATATAACAATAGGAAAGTTTTGGACTTTAGGTTTTTGACACCATTCTATTGGGTTTCATACTTTTGCTCCCTTCAATATTTACCTACGCAATCTCTACCCAGAAGTATATCCAATTGTGCAATCTCCACCCAGAAGTGAACCCTACTGTATACTCTTAGAGTTCATCGTCGCTCTTATATGTTTTTGGAAACTGTCGCTTTTTGGCCAATTTTTTTTAGAAAACTCTAAATTATTTCTAACCCATGCGATGACTATTTCCTTGTTTATAATTAATTATTATAACAAATAATAATATTTATAAACCAACAATTAATAATAATAATAATAATAATAATAATAATAATAATAATAATAATATTTTTTGTTGTGATAATTTGATAAAAAAAGAAAAGATACACATACGATCATTGGAGCTACCTTTAAATATTTAATACGTCCCCTAGAAGTGAAGTCAGGCTACACAGGAGCGCTCTCATGATCGAGCACGGAAGCACCCAACGTCAACCATTCCACATGTTCTTTGACTGTTGGCTCGGCGAGCTAAGTACCACCCTTGAGCAGCTCGTCTCAGCCGCCAACCACCACAAAGACGATGATGATATCGAAGACGACTCAGACTTATACTTGCTGAATGGTAAAGCTGTAGGGCACTACGAGGAGTACTACAAGGCTAAATCAGATGGAGCAAAAGGAGATGTGCTTTCGATGTTTACACCCACAAGGCTAACAAAGCTTAAAGATGCTTTTTTGTGGATCGCCGGATGGCGGCCGACGATGGCTATCCACCTGCTGTACTCCAAGTCCGGAATCCAGTTTAAAGCCAATCTCAGTGATCAAATTCCGTTATTTAGCTGCGGGGATTTAGGAGACTTGACTTCGAATCAGATGTTCCGAATCGACGAGTTACAGAAGAAAACCATCCGTGAAGAGAGAGCTGTAACCGAGAAAATGGCGACTTTACAGGAGTCCTCGGCAGACACGGACATGGTAGATTTATCCAACGTGGTGTCGGAGATGATCAGGAAGAAGAACGTCGATGGAGGGAGGGATTTTGATGAAAGAGTGGAAAAGGTGATAGAGGAGAAGAAGGATGAACTGGAGAAGGTGTTACACATGGCGGATGTTCTGAGAATGGAGACATTGAAGTCCGTAGTGGAGATACTGACGCCGTTACAGGCGGTGTACTTTCTAATCGCTGCCGCGGAGCTTCACCTCCGGCTACACGAATGGGGCCAGAAGATGGACGCGGCTTAGTTACCTTCAGTCGTTTTCTTTTTCGTCGTCTGTAATTGTTTAATCAAATCATAAAATGTAAGAGTCTAAATCAGAGTGTAGTGGACAAATAAAACCTTCTTTGGTTTAATCACTCCTCTTTTTAATCGATGTTATTGTACACATAAATTCCTTTACGATATACTAAGGGGTGTTTTGCCTAAGCTTATTTATTGTTTATTTTTCGGGCTTATTTTTTATAAGTTCAATCATAAGTTCGGTTTATTTTCTTAGTGTAAATCATAATAAGCTCAAAGTTGAAAAATAAGTTAGAAAAATTAAGCTTATAAAAAAATAATTTCGGAAAATAAGTCATAAATAAGCTTAGCCAATCACCCACAAATATTAATGAAACAATAAGAATATCAGCGAAATGCGAACTAAAGACATATGTAAAAAAATAACTCAATACCTTTATATGCAAACTCATTGTTGACTAAAAACAATGGCTAGGTCGTGCTTGCCCCCGTTTCGGGGGCGGGGGCGGGGACGAGGGAATGGAGATATTTCGGTTGCGGGGGCGGGGGGATGCACTCAACATCCTGCTTGCCACCGTTGACATCCTTACTCCATCCCTTGCCTGCCACGTGTCGATGTCCGATGCTTCCACCCATCATTCTTCTAGAAGTCGCCACATGTCACCATTTCGTGGTGCCACATGTCACATTTTCCTAAGGCCACGTCGCCTTGTCATTGCGAGAGAGGGGCATCTGACACTGCCATTTGTCGCCCCCGGAGAGTGCCACGTCATCGGTGTACGCGGCGTAAATTTTTAGATTTTCAAAATGTCGTAACTTCTTCATACGAGCTTCGTTTTCGACGTTCTTTATATATATCCGGAAATCTCTCGACGAGATCTACAACTTTCATTGAGACTCCGTCAGCTAATTTTGACTTTATATTTAAAACTATATTTTAAACAGGCTTAGACAGTTAAGGTCCATTAAAAATTCATAACTTTCTCATATGATATCCGTTCTCGATTGTCTTTATATTGATGGAACCATATGGACGAGGTCTTTAACTCTCGTTTATATTGTTTTTCCTAACAATCAACCGATCTCTTCTTCGGTTTCTGAGCCGTATAATGCTGCGTTGAAACTTCAAAAAATCATAACATCCCCTTACAAAGTCAGATTTGGACGTTCTGTATATGCATACTCTCGTTTTAATGATTACTATGACTTTCGTTCATAATACTTAGGCTAAAAATTAATCTATCGAAAATTCACTTTTTACGATACGTAGATTTGTGCCGGTTAATCACGAAACTTCGAAGAAGTATAACTTCTTTATACGAAGTCGGATTTCAACGTTCTTTATATATATCGAACTGTTGTCACATACACAATAACTTTGGTTAAGGTTATTTCTCCTAAATAACTTTCTATCAAAAAGTCATTTTTATTGCTTTTAAAATATTTAATAGACTAGCCCGAATCTGCGGGCGTTACATACTCCATGGTGATTACCACACGATGGAGACATGCTCTCCACCCCGTAGAGACGAGTTTTCACCCAAATCCATTCCAGCTTCAAACAATCATAACTTCTTCGTTTCAACTCCATTTTAGGCGATCTTTATATGCACGCGAAGGTATTGATGATCTCCACAATTTTTTCGAGGGATTTACTTTATCACGTTACAACCCGAAATCCCAAAAACAGGAAACGTCCCGAAACTGGATGTTACAAGTTTGTAAAGTCAAACAATATATATCAACTCAATATATAAACTAGGTCAACATTCCCGAACCACTAGCTCGTCTCTAAGTCCAAAAGCATCATCAAATAAAAATGAAGACATTCAAAGTTGGTATATAATCTAAGCAAAAAAATATTTAATTGAAGTAATAGTACTCAACCAATGTAATAAATATTGAACCTATGTATGGATACTTAATCCAAGTAATGGGTATTCAACCCATGAAGTATGTAATCAACCTAAATAAGGATACTCAATCCAAGTAATGGATACTTAATCTAAGTAAGGATATTTAATCTATATAATGTGTATTCAACCTAAGGAATTGCTAGTCAACCTAAATATATATACACAATCCAAGTGAAGGGTACTCAATCCATGGAATAGGTACACAACCTAGGTCATTAGTGTCTGGATTATAACTTTTCTTAAAATCCACCCAAAGAAAGGTATGTAAAAAAATTCCAGATTTAAAATCCAAAAGCATCTCAAAATCATCTCAAGTTATCTAAAAGAAATCCACAAAGAAAACTTATTCTCAAAATTCCTTTAATCAATTTAAAGGATGTTCTCGTTTTTTCTTACATAAAATTATTTTAATGAAAAAATAAAACACCTCGGTACATATAGTATTAGGAATACATATAGTATTACAGACCATAAGGAAAGAAAAATAAAAATATACCATTATAATGGAGACATCTGTTTATAAGATAGAGTACTCACCTTAGTTTACAGTAGATACAGAACTACACTTTTAGCAATGTTTGTATGACTAATTCTCGGCTATACATCAAAGTTAACTAACTTATTAATCACTTAATTAATCTATTAATGAAATAAACATTAGGATAACTTAATTTATGCCCTACTTAAGCTTCTTAAGTCATTTGGGAAGCAATGGAAGTGGTTTGAGGTGAAATGGTTCAATTAAAAAAATTATAAATTTTCCTTTTTTTCCGGCGTATTATGTAGACAATGTAATTAGCCTATTCATATAACTTGTCTTGTAATTCCCATCATTCACCAAAACGTGGTTCATGTCTAATTATGGTATTAACTAAATGTGGTTCTTGTCTAATTATCGTTTTGTTCTTTAATGGAATAGACCTTAATCCTTCATTAAGAACTTCTAATGACATATGTAGATGGAATAATACCTAACAACTTGTTTCACTACATTAATACGTCTAGAAGGAATTTCTTCCTCATTGGTCTCAAGGGGTGGGTTATAGTTGTCATTGAAGGGAGGTGGTACTCTATGATACCCTAAACCCTTGGTTTGATCATCTTTAAATGTTAATTGTTTTTCTATCATGGATGCAACTACCTCACTTGACACATCAAATTTATTAAATTTGAATTCAACATATTTATATTTAGCTTTCAATGCATCAAGTTCGGTAGTCAAGTTAGCAAGTTGTTCCTTAACATAATCATAATTCATATATTTATTACTGTATTCTTCTTGAAGTTTTCTAAAATCATTGGTTTTGGCCTCTAGTTGTGCTTTTAAAGGTTTTTGGGCCTTCCTAAGTGTATATCCTTCATATTTAAGGTCCTCATTTTCCCTTTTTAGCAAATCATTTTTGTTCACGAAGAAACTTAATCGTAGCTTCATAAGATTCAAAACATAAAACTTCATTGACCGGGATGTTTGAGGAACTCATTGTTTACCAAAAATGCCCTTTGACTATAAAACTCAAAAGTCAACCTTAAAAGTCAAATTTAAAAAGTCAAACTTAAAAGTCAAACTTGAAAAGTCAAACCTAAAAGTCAAACCGAAAAGCTAAAAGTGAAAATTTGAAAGTTAAACGAGAAAGTCAAAGTTTAAAGTCAAAGGTCAAACTTGAAAGTCAACGTCAATTTTTTTTAGGTCAAAAGTCAATTTAGAAAGTCAAAAATTAAAAGTCAAAACTTTGGGTTGAAAATGAAACTTTAAAATTTGATTTTTTTTAACAAAAATATAGCCTTAGAACCGAAAACGAAGTTATTTGATCGAAAACGGGTTTACAGCTAGAAACGGATTTACGGCTGTAAACGGGTTTACGATTGTAAACGAGGATTGCAGCTGTAAACGGGGTTTGCGGCTGTAAACGGGGTTTACGACTGTAAACGGGTTTCGTTGTTTACGACCAAAATATGCAAATTTTCACATTTTTAGCTCCAAAACTCGATCAAAAACCCATTTTTATGAAAAACACGAAGAACAAACCCCTAATATTTTGTCAAAAACTATCCAAAAACATAAAATCCTTCAAGAAAAAGTGCAAAAGCGCTCCAGATCTTGCCAAAGAGATTGTACAATCCAAGCTCTGATACCAACTGTAAGTCCCAAAATTCGCTTGATGTATCAATTCGATCCGCTTGATGGTGCGGAATCCCAATCAAGCGGATGATGCAAGATCAAATGGAGAAGAAGAAAAAGAAGAATAATATGAATCTATGATGTATTGATGATAAGATTGCTGCTCCAACACAAGATTCACACACATACACACACTCTTCTTCTCTCTACTTTCTTTCTCTAGCACATGCTCTACCACTTGTGTCTCTCCCTTTTACTCCTCACCCCTACATCTATATATATATATATATATATATATATATATATATATATATATATATATATATATATATATATATATAGATATATATATATATATATATATATATATATATATATATATATATATATATATATGGACTGCAAACTCAAGGCCCAAACCCAATGCTAGACCGAAAACACATGGGTTTTCGGTCCAAGCTACAAATAAACCAATTAATATTTTCGGCCCAAAACAAAAATAATAAACGCTTAGAAAATTAAGCAAAGTATAAACCATATTTTTGACCCAACAATTACCTACTTTGTAAGTTTGGTGGATAAGTGAACCTGACTAAGTAAGGTCTCTATCGACTTCCTATTTATCTTGCTAGAAAGCATGTAGTTCCTTGAACCAGTTGATCCCTAATTTTCCTCCATTGATGTATCTTTCATCATTGATTTTGTTCTAAGAATGGGTTTCCTTCATCATATACAACCCAATCGAGGTAATTCTTTTAATGTTGGAGCAAAATCAGAATCAATGTCATGGAAGCCGAACTTTATCTTTGTTAACCTTAATTTTTTGATAGGTTTTTACCCATTTATTGTATTTATAATTTTATTTATTTCATCATCTTAATATTTTGATTAACTTTTAGAGGTGTTGGTTTTAGCTTGGAATAAGAGAATGGCAAGAAAGTCAGATGATTATCTTGATCCATGTATGTT